AGTAAGTAATAAGAAAAAACAATAAGAAATAAAATAAAAATACAATAAGTAAAAGACTGTAATTCGTATCAAATATTAAAATAATTGGTAACATTTATTTATTTTTGAAATTTTCACATTTAGACATTCCCTATTTACATCAGTTCCTGTTACTTCACATGCAAATATCTCAATAACTGTTTATCTGAGCAATGTGAAATTTGTTTTCTAATATGTTAATAATGTTGTCTTTCCAAAACTGTATTCATGTTTCTTACCAAAATTTAATGTCACGTGCACATCTAACAGCAAGCTGGGGTTGAGACCCCACTGTGGGTCATAAAGCTCCAAATTTTGGGCCATTAGAGGATTTGCAGGAATTAAATTAAGTTTAAAACTGACTGCTAAGAATTGTTTTTTGCTATATTTGACAAAATAGCAGTTAGATATGGATAAAACAATTGGTCTATTAGCAATATTTGAATAATTCAACCAAAAATACTTTGATTCATGAGTTTCTGCCACAGTTTTAATTTTTTTGTCATTTGTGTTTATTATGAAATTGGTCTTAAATTTGATTTCACCTGGCATTAAAAAGTCTTAAATTTAACTTGCCTTAAACTGTAGGACCCCTTTAACAGGTTGACTGCTGTACAGATGCTTCTGTCCTGCCATGGAGCCCACAGCTTACCTTTCATTCCTGCAGGGGTCTCCATTTAATCTGGATGTGAAGAGACGGTTCAGACATCACTCTGGGACTTTTCACTGCTGCTCCTTCTGCTCCAGTGGAGGAAACAAAGAGGCTCGCTGTGGCTGCCCAGGAACAATGCCAGGTAATATCTTCTTTTTTTTTTTGGCAAATTGTGAATCTGATCTATCCCTGTGATGAACTGATGACAATCTGAAGACTGATTTTTATATTTTGAGCAGGGCTTGGTATAAAATTGTCAGTGGCAAACCACAACAATAAGAGCTGGGTCTTCAGCTTAGATAAAATCATGGAATCTGTGCTCCTGATTTCTTTAAAAATGTTGAACTTGTGCACAACTTTTTGTTAACATGTAAACAGTATGACGACGTCATGACGCATTCAAGTACAATCTGTAAATTCAGTAATCYGCACTGAAACATTAACTATTCCAAATATAAATAAAAAAAGTTCATGGGTTAATTTCCTATTTAGCTTTGAAACTGAATTTTGTTGTATCAAAGGTCATTTTTTGTGTCACTCATCGTGGTCCTTCAGAAAGCCAGAGTAATCAAACAGAAATCAACAGATTTACCGTACGTTTCACATTAACTTCCTGTAAGGTAKTGTAGACATTCAGTGACTGACTCAACACTGATTACTGCTTCCTTTCAGTCTAAAGGAAGCAGTAATCAGAGTTGCCATACATACTATAATTCTGATATACAGTGTACAATAAACAATTTTAAAAATCCCATGTTTGATAATTAGACTGTTTCAATGCATGGCTGAATTAACACACAGCTGTCTGACATGAGAGAGCTGGTGGGTTGCAGAACACAGCATTGCCAATTTAGTGACTTTGTTCCTCTTTTTAGCAAATTTTCCCATCCTTCTAGTGACTGTTTATAAAACAGGCAATATTATGTGTTTCTCGGGTATATATTTAAATACTATATCATAATAAAGTATCTATG